TTTTTCCTGACTTTTCCCAAGTCTTGGGCCACGTGGTTCTCGCCTGCATTCTCCAAATTCTCTCCTCCTCCTCCTTTTGACATCATCAGTGACTCCGATGATGTCAAAACCACACATCTGTTCACACCACTCCCTTCACTTGAGTTTCTATTTCTTTCTTTTTTTTAAATATATTTTTTATTGATTTTTTACAGAGAGGAGGAGAGAGGGATAGAGAGCTAGAAACGTTGACGAGAGAGAAACATCGGCCAGCTGCCTCCTGCACACCCCCCACCAGGGATGTGTCCGCAACCAATGTACAATACATGCCCCCGACCGGAATCGAACCCGGGACCCTTCAGTTCGCAGACCGATGCTCCACCACTGAGCCAAACCAGTTTCGGCGTTGAGTTTCTATTTTTTTTTTTGGATAAATGCTACACTTGACCCACAATGTCAATGTAATATATGAGTCTATATACCTGCCCAGAAAGACTCGGACCCCTTTCCCTTCCTGCTCCCCTCTCTAGTTTGTCAATGGGCCATGTTCCTTCTCACCTCAGAGCCTGTACATAAGCTAGCCATTCCCTTTGCCTAGAACACTCTCTCTTCCCTTCAATCTACCCTGACCCTAGGACTAGGCTGGCTGCCTGTGACACTCACTCCCAGGATGCCATGCTTCTCTATAACAGTCTTAGCAACTGTAAACAAGATGTACCGAGCTATCTCATGCCTTCTCCCCCACTGGGAGGGCAATGGCGATGTCTTGTTCACCACAGGCCTAGAAGAGGTCTGATTGAGGAATGCTCAGTAAGTGTTTGAGAATGAATGAAAGGATAAATGACTCTCCTGGTTGTCCTACTCCATAGCAGCCTCCTCTTCTGGCTCTTTTTCTTCCACTGCCCTTCAGAAAGGCTTTCCTTTTCTCCTTTCCCTATTCTCCTCTTTTCTCTCCTCTCTCTGAAAGCTTTTGTCTAGGTTTCTAAGGAGATGTCCCTCAAGCCCACAGCTCCCTCCAGCCTCATCCTGTCTCCAGGAATGCACCCAGCTCTTACAGCTGCCTGCTGACCTCTCCATAGCGATGGTGCCCAGGTCCCTCAAACTCTCACGTCTAAAATTAGCAGCTCCCACTCCCTGAGTGTCTGTCTGTCACATGCAGGAGCATAAGCTTGCATCTCCCCACCCCCAAAAGTACCATATGAAGTAGATGCTATGATCCCATTTTACAGATGAACCTGTAAAATGAGCTAGGTCAATCTGCAACAAGCCGCAGAGCTGGGACTGGAATCAAGGACTGGGTTCAAAGTCTGCCCTTTTCCTGTGACATCACATTGTTTTCTCTGACCCAAAGTGCCCTAACCTGGTTCTTCTATAGGCACCCTTGATTTTCGAAGGACCCCGCCATTCCACCATCATTCTGGATGGCAGCCTTCACTTACTTCATCTCTTCCTCCTTCCACTCCTCTTTTCTAATATCCAGTCATCAGCAAGTCACAATTGGGACTGTGTCCCCTGCATCCTTCCCTGCCTAACAGTCCCGCTGCCACTTCCCCCATTTGGAAACTTACAGACTCGGAGCCCGAAGTACTGAAGAGACTCTTAACTGATCTTCAAGCTCCCTCTCTTGCATGTACTTTTCACACCCCAGCCCAACTGGCTTCCCAAAGCACTGCTCACTGGGCCACTCCCTCCCTGCTCTGGAGCGTGCAGTGGTCTGAGGCCTGTACAGAAACTCCTCAGGGTGCCATTGCAGGTCCCTTCCGGAACTAGACCCTCTCCACCTTCCCAGCCTCTCATCTGCTTTGAGCTCTCATTTGCCAAACTGGACCCCTTCCCATGGTCCAAGTACACCTTAGCCTTTCCTTCTTCAACACTTCTGTTTACACTGTTCTCTTTACCCAGTATAATATCACTCCCCCCTAGATATTCTACAGAGCTTAGCTCAAATGTAATCTTTTTTTTTTTAATTTTTGAAGCTCTTTTAAAATATATATGTTTTTACTGATTTCAAAGAAGGAGAGACAGAAACATCAATGATGGGAGAGAATCACTGATTGGCTGCCTCCTGCACATCTCCCACTGGGAATCAAGCCCGCAACCCGGGCATGTGCCCTGACCGACCGGGAATGGAACCATGACCTCCTGGTTCTTAGGTCTACACTCAGCCACCAAGCCACGCTGGTGGGGCTCCAATGTAATCTTATTAGGAAACATTCTCTGGCTACCCAAGTCTCTTCTGAGTCCCAAAAACCCACTTGGAGTCTTATTCTCAGATATCTAAGTCCATGATCCCATCCACACAGATAATTTCTTGTAACTCTGAAAGGTACATCTCAGATTTCCCTCCCTGCACAGGCACACAGTAGGTGCCTACGAAATGTTTTCCTGGAAGAAGGAGAAAAAGAAGGAGAAGGAGAAGGAGAAGGAGAGAAGAAGAAGGAGGAGGAGAAGGGGGAGAAGGAGGGGGAGGAGGGGGGGGGAGGGGGGGGGAAGGAAGGAAGGAGAGGAGAGGAGGGAAGGAAGAAAGAATAAAGGGAAAAGAAGGAAGGAAGGGCAGTCAGCTCACTAGGTGATAGGGTAGGCACAACTTAGTTCTCCACCCTGACCCTGGGCCAAGTAAACAGAGACCAGCCCAACTCAACAGGGGGTAGGGATGGGGATTCTGAGGATGCTCCTTACTTTCTCATTGGCGGTCCTGTTTAGGTAGTAATCTCGAGAAGGGAGAAAGAGCCCAGACTGGTCCACCTGCAATAGCAAGGTAAAGGAGTAAGCCCACCCCCGCCTAAACCTGGACTCTTGTGCAGGGGGACCTCCCCAGGCTGCCGGTCAGAGGGGAGGAGAGTCTGGGCTCAGCAAATGGCTCATACGTCCTTCCCCACCTTTCCCCAGCCCCTTACCTGTATAACATTGCTGTTGGAACTCTTAGAGTCAGCACTGATGTAGACGGTGAAGAAGGGGGAGGCCCTGTAGGTCCCCGCTACTGCCTTCAGCACCTCCATGAAGTTGTCTTGGTCCCAGGGCCCCGTAATATTCCAACCGCCAATCTGAGTAGAGACCATCGTGGAACCTATGACTTAGGTCCCCGAAGCTTCCAGGGCGCCACACCCCCTTCCAAGTCCTGTCCTTGCCCTGCCCACAGCCCACAGCCCACCCAGGGGCTGTACTTTTTCAATGAGGTCCCGCAGCGGCTGGGCTCCCAGCTCCTCAATGCGCTCCACCTGGAGGCAGGACAGGTAGAAGCGCTGTGTCTTCCGCTCGGCTTCGCTGCTGGAATTGAAGGTGGCGTTTTCTGTGGAGGAGAATAAAGGTCCGGGTGGCAACTATGCCGGCTGCTGAGCAGGTTCCCGGGCCCTTACCTGGTCCCTCTTCCTGCCTTCTGAACCAGGGGCAGCCCTCCTGATGCAAACCCAGGAAGACTGGGTGGAACGGCCAAGTGTGGCTTCCTCTCCCCTGTCCACGAAGACCACCCAAGATCTCTAAGCACCGCAGGCTCCCTGGTCTTACCACACCTCAGCAGCCCTCCAGACAGAATGCAGAGAGGAGTCTCTCCATTGTGCTTAGAGGTATGCCCCCCACCACCACCCCTGAAGCCCATCTCCACCTTTCAGGAGTCCCCTGCTCTTTGCATCCCTTACCCCAGGAGTATTCCCAGTCACCCTGTTATTTCTTTCTTTCTTTTTTAAAAAAATATATTTTATTGCTTTTTTTTACAGAGAGGAAGAGAGAGGGATAGAGAGCCAGAAACATCAATGAGAGAGAACCATCGATCAGCTGTCTCTTGCACACCCCCTATTGGGGATGTGCCCGCAACCAAAGTACATGCCCTTGACGGGAATCCAACCTGGGACCCTTCAATCCACAGGCCAGCACTCTATCCACTGAGCCAAACCGGTTTCAGCCACTGTTATTTCTTCATTGGTGGACATTTATTAAGTACCTACTCAGTGCCAAGCCTTTTGCTGGGCATGAAGCAGGTACTTGGCACAAGCCCCTGACAGGCGCACTCACCGAGCAGGTGTTTCAGGATGGCTTGGTTCTGGTCCCAGAGGCTATTGAACGTGTTCCAGCGAGAACGCCCATCCGGCAGGGGGTTCCTCCGGATCCAGCCTCCGCAGGAGAATTGGTAAAAGTCCTCACAGGGGCTCACCCCGCGGTCCAGGGTCTCCAGGATTTTCCCGGCCACTCGAATGCAGGCCTCTGTGAGGCAGGTGCTGTGGGAAGGGTCTGGGGCGGGGAACATGGCCAGGGCAGGGGGCTGTCAGTCAGTCTGAGAAAGGCAAACGCTTTGAGGGGGCCCGTGACGTGCCGGCAGGAAGGTTGGGAGGAGAGAGAAAAGCAGGGGAAGGTGGCTCCACCCGGAGACTATCTCAAAGGCCCTCCAGCCCGCAGAGTCCCCACAGCGGGGGGTGCTGCGGACAGGGTGAGCCCACCTACCTCGGTAGTACTGGACCCCCAGGGCCACAAAGCAGCCCACAAGCAGCGCAGCCAGCAGTAGCGAGACCCCTGCCAAGACCAGCTCCAGCTGGGTGTGCAAGCCCAAGAGGTGTCCCGTCCTCTTCTGGAATCCCACCTGGGGAACACAGGGTGACACAGCTAGCCGGCTGCAGGTGGGGCGAGGGGCTGGGGCTGGGGGCCCAAGATCACAGAAATCCTCCCAGAGGGCGAAGGCACAGGCAGTTGTCAGAGCCATGGGGTTAGCTAACTCCGGGCACCGAGGCAATGAGGCTGGCTGGGCTGAGGCTTGAGCCTGTTTTGTGCAACGTCATGGCTGAGAATCGCCTCGCCATCGTCCTCGCGCAGCAGCGGCCAGAGTCTGAGCGGAGGTGGGTGGGGGCAGGTGCAGGTGACCCTCCAGGGCAGCCCAAAGCCGCTGGGTTTGCCAGGCTTCATTCCAGGGCTGGGCCTGGGGAGGACGGAGAGCCCCCCTCGCTCACCTCCACAGAGTCCAGGGAGGCTCCGCCCTCCACGGGGGTCTCGGGCGCGTCGTCTTCCCGCAGCGTGGCCCGTCGGTACTCCACCATCTGCCACAGGCCGGGGCGCCCCCCCGGGTCAGGCGGATCGGGCTGATGGCCCGCGGCCCAGCCCCAGCCCCAGCCCCAGCGCCTCTCCCCAGGCCGGCGCCTCCCGTCTGCAGCGAGGCCCCTTCCCCGCCCGGAACCTGTGACCTGGGGTCCCCCCGACCCCTGCTCCTCCACACACACCCCCGCCCCCCCAGCCCCTGCCCGAGGCTGCCCGTCCGTCAGCCTCCCTGCCTCCCTCCCTCCTCTGGGGAGTGGGGGGCTCTGCCCTGCAGCCCGGAGCCCCACGCACATTACCGCCGCCGCCCAGCTCCTGCAGCGCGATGTTCATGGTGGAGTCCCCGCGGGCGGCACCTTAGGGCGCCCGGCGGCTGGCCCTCGCCCAGGCCGCGGCCTCGGACCCCGGCCAGGCCCCGCCGCCGCGCGCCATCGTAGCGGCTGCCACAGCCCTTCCCTGGGCCGCCGCCGCCCCCGCCTGCCCGCCTGCCGGGGTGGGGGGCTCCCCCGCCTCCCGCGGCGCTGCGCCCGCCCGGGCCGGGAACGCGGGGGAGGGGAGGGGCGGCCACCCAGACCTCCGGCTCCGGGACCCACCGCGGCCACCCCGCTGCGCTCGGAACCCGCCGCCCTCCGGAGCCGCAGGGAAGCCGCTGCTCTGGGGGTCAGCCCTCCCTCCCCCATCCCCCGCAGCATCCTTCCCCAAGCCTCCCGCAATGTACGTTCCTGTGACTCAGGCCCAAACGCTGCGGATCTTTCCCGGCCCAGTTAATTACCCAAAGGGCAGGCCCTCCCCATCATCCCCTTTAAACACCTTTGAGAATTTATAGTCCATGGAGGAGCATCTTCCCCCCGGAGCGCGCACAGCCGCTCCTCAGCCCGCAGAGCAGCCCGCAGAGCAGCACGCGGGCGCTGACCCACATACAGGGCGTCCGCATGATGTTCTCAGAGAGCACGCAGATCCCATGTGCACAGGCCAGCACCCAGCCAGGACACACACAGGATGCTTCCCGAAGGTACACACTGCCCACTCACACACAGTGTGCACACGCGCAGGGCTCCCAGCCCAACACACGCCACACACTGAGACAACACACACGCAGGGCCCACCCCGTACACGTTGCTCCACGACTGCACTTTTGCTCTCCACGATCACTGTTGTCATCGGATCCTCTCACACAGAGAGGATTACAGATGGTGACAAATTGGCAGAGGGGAAAAAAAAACAGCCATCCGCAGATATTTAAAGAAAAGATGTGTTAACACTTCCAACTTGAGGAAAGCAAATCGTTTTATTTGGGAGATTTACAAGAAGGGGGGGGGGGGGGGAAGCACACACAACCCAAGCACTACTTAACTGAAAGGCAATAGTGTGGCATCTATGCATCTGCCATCTGCCTTCCTTCCATATTGTCATTCCTTAATCAGGCCCCGAGGTGTTGCAGTCTGCTACTCTGCAGAGTGCCTCATATTTTCTTTTACCACAGTTGTGTGTGTGTGTGTGTGTGTGTGTGTGTGTGTGTGATCTAAGTGCCTCATCCTCCACCTTCCTCCCCAACACAGGCCGTGAGTCTGACCTGAGAAGTGGCAAATCCATAATCCGGCTCTCAAACGTCTTGCTGCAAATGGTTCTCGCATGGAACACGCTCGTGGCTGAGAAAAGGTGGGTGCCGAATGAATCAGGCTGAGAAATGCTGGATTGTTTTCTTTGGCACTTTCCACCCCATAACGACGTGTTCTCAAACAGGAGACAGAACGGTGTCATAGTTAAGATAAAAGATTCTGGATTCAGCCAAAACCGGTTTGGCTCAGTGGATAGAGTGTCAGCCTGCGGACTGAAAGGTCCCAGGTCCGACTCCAGTCAAGGGCATGTACCTTGGTTACAGGCACATCCCCAGTAGGAGGTATGCAGGAGGCAGCTGATAGATGTTTCTAGCTCTCTATCCTCCCTTCCTCAGTGTAAAAGATCAATAAAAATATGTTTAAAAAATATTCTGGATTCAGACTGAATTTCTTCACTGATAACATTGAAATAAGAATAGTACCTTTTCCAGCCGAAACCGGTTTGGCTCAGGGGATAGGGCGTCAGCCTGCGGACTAAAAGGTCCCAGGTTCGATTCCAGTCAAGGGCACGTATCTTGGTTGCGGGCACATCCCAAGTGGTGTGTGTGTGTGTGTGTGTGTGTGTGTGTGTGTGTGCAAGAGGCAGCTGGTCGATGTTTCTCTCTCATCAACGTTTCTAACTCTCTATCCCTCTCAATTCTTCTCTGTGTAAAATCAATAAAAATATATTTAAAAAAGAAAAAGAAAAAGAATAGTACCTTTTCCAAAGGATTGTTGTGAGAATCAAATGAAACAATACTTGTAAGTGCTTAGGGCAGTGCCTGACACATACGAGCACTCAGTGTGTTGCGGGCTGTTAGTTTTGTTGTTGTAAATAAAATCCTATGTAGGTAGAAATAAACATTGAAAGGCTGGAGAAAGCCTGTTCTGTTTTCCAGACAGTAGAGAAGGCAGATGGGTTCTAGGTTAGGCTGGTTCCCTGAGCAAGGAGCTTTCACACCCAGAACACTGGGGTCTGCAGCAGCAAGGACTTGGGATGGCCACTTGGGACAAGAGCCTGGAGTGGTTCATATGCTTTCTGATGACGTGTGGCACCACAGCACTTCCTTCTCCCCTCCCCCCAAGCCTGGATGCAGAGAAACATGGCAGCAGGGTTGGTCTTGCCCCACGGGAAATTCCACCGAGACATGGCCATGTGAGTGTAAACAAAGCTGCTACGTAAGGACTTCCTGGCAACACGCTCATCAGAAACAGTCCCACGGCTGCTGCAATGCCATACTGGAAAGAGCAAGTGTATGCAGCACTTTCCTATGTGCCTGCCAGTGTTCTAGGTGCTTTACACCTATGCACTCATTTATCCTCATGGCACTTACGAAGCCATGAAGAAAACTGAGGCATAGAGAGGCTGAGTCACACAGTTAGTAGCAGAGCTGGGATTCAAACACAAGTGGTCTGGCTCAAGGATATACTTCCTCCTAAGTAGTTGCTTGTCTTCTGCCATATCCTCTCTGGAAGAGTTAGGAGACACACATCTATTTTCAAGGTAGATAGACGTGGACTCAAATCTGGGTTCAATTCTTTATCAGCTGTATGATCTTTATCAAGTGACTTGAAAGCTCTGACCCTTCATTTTCTTCACCTGTAAAATGGGAACAGGCATCCGTATCTCAGAGAGTGGATCCGAGAAATGCAGCCACACAAGAAAGACCCTGTACCTACTTTTATTTATTTAAAAATATTTTTTATTGATTTTTTTACAGAGAGGAAGAGAGACGGATAGACAGAAACATCGACGAGAGAGAAACATCAATCAGCTGCCTCCTGCACACCCTGTACTGGGGATGTGCCCGCAACCAAGGTACATGCCCTTGACCGGAATCGAACCTGGGACCTTTCAGTCCGCAGGCTGATGCTCTATCCACTGAGCCAAACCGGTTTCGGCCCTGTACCTACTTTTATAGTGTTCTCAGTTTCACTGGGCTTGACCTAAATGGACAGTTCCTTTCCATGCCTCTTTCATGACCCAAATCATTTAGTAGGCGCATAATTATTCCTGACTACATGTTAAGTATCCTGTGTATAAAAGGCTTGGAGGTTGCTTTATTCTACAATTCTACTTTCTTTCCTCTGTGTTTATAATCTTTGACCCTGCTTTATTCTCTCATTCTATTATTCTCTCTCTTTTCCGTTCTTCTTTCCTACAGAAGTAATATTTTCTCTACATTGATTTTTTTTTTAATTTTTTTACAGAGAGAGGGATAGAGAGTTAGAAACATCGATGAGAGAGAATCATCGATCAGCTGCCTCTTGCACACCCCCTACTGGAGATGTGCCCACAACCAAGGTACATGCCTTTGACCAGAATCGAACCTGGGACCTTTCAGTCCGCAGGCCAACACTCTAGCCATTGAGCCAAACCGGTTTCGGCTCTACATTGATTTTAAATTGAGGGGGAATGAACAACAGGTTATATATTAAATTTACAAGGATAATGTATTAATAGTCATGAAGATAAGAAACATCCACATTCAGTGTTGACCAAGATGAGGAATATGTCACTTTCATATATTGCTGGTGGCTTACAAATTGATGCTTTTTTGGCCAATATAAATCAACAGATATAAGTGTACACTCTATTTGACCCAGGAAGTCTAATTCTAGGAAATTGTTCCAGGAAATAATCATGATCCACAGGAGAAAGATCTGGAAAGATATACACCAAACTGCTAATAATGGTTACCTCTTAGGATGGTACTACCGTGTTTCCCTGAAAATAAAACATCTTCCGAAAATAAGACCTATTTACAGGTTTCCTTCTGAGTGAAATATAAGGCATCTCCCCGAAAATAAGGCCCTCCTAGGCTCTGTCTCAGAATGCTATTGCTAAACATGAGAGATTTGGTCCACTGATTCTGAAAGTAATGGAGTCACAAGAAATTCACCAGGAAATTCAGGAATTGGATTGTTATGATGATGTTCCAGAAGATGATGACATGATTGTCATTGAATAAATGAGTAAATTCTTGATACTGTAGGATTCACGGTTTGTCTGATTTGTGTTGACAACTACCGTACTACCATATACAGGTAATAAATTTCCTTTATTTTCATTTAACAATTAATGTGTACCGTATTCTTCTTCATGGAAAAATAAGACATCCCCTGAAAATAAGACCTAGTGCATCTTTGGGAGCAAAAATGAATATAAGACACTGTCTTATTTTGGGGGAAACAGGGTAGCTTTTGCTACATAAAAAACCTACCCAAACTTTGTGGATTAAAATAGCAAACATTTGTTTATCTGTTCAGTGGGTTGACTGGGTCAGTTCAGCAGGAGCTGAGTGGTCTAGTTGACTGGCCTCATTTACATGTTTGGGTCCCAGCAGGAATGAGTGGGCTCTGTCTCTGTGGTCTCTCCTTCTCCTGTAAGTTAGCCCATATGATAG